GTATTTAATAAGGAATAGCAATTAGTAATCCATTGAAAAAGGCTAGTAAGTTACTATAAGCTAGGTGGCAGGACAAGCATAAAGGGCAACATTGTAAGTAGGTGTGCGTCAAGTCCCAGGAGGGTGGGGGTCAGGTCACAAGAGGTTGTGATCACAAGCGACCACTGAGATTCCACATTACACTCCAACGCACAATTCACCTACTTTTCAGACACACAAACCCACCTACTTTTCAGACACACAAACCCACACATAATTCCACTCATAATTACACACACACACACACACACACACACACACACACACACACACACACACACACACACACACACACACACTCATACAGACTCACACATACCTCCCCCTCCCCCCACCTACCTCTCACTCCTTCCCCTGATCCATCCCCTCCCTCTTTCACCATCCCCCTCCCCACCACTCCCTCCTCCCCCCCTCTCCTTCTCCCAATCACCCACTTGCTTCTCCCTCCTTCCCACTCCCCATATTCCCCCTAAATCCCCCTCCCCACCCCTTTCCCACATAGCCACAGTGCCTCCTCTACCTTCCCCCCCCACACTCTGACAAACACACTACTAACCTAACACACAGAATTACATAGGTTTTCCACTCTGAGGCAATCAAAATAAAACAAAAATGGGTTGCCAGAGAGCAGGAAGGAAAACCAAGGGACAGGAGGAGGAATCTGCAAAGGAAGATTGGGCAGCAGAGCTCATAAAAAGGGAACATGAATGGGAAAAGAAACTAGAAGAACTTAGCATGAGAATGGAAGAGAGGATAGATATGGAAAGCAGGAAGTGGGAGGTGCAAGTCAAAGCAGCAGAGGCTAGGATACAGAGTTTAGAAGAGGAACTGAAAAATCTGAATTAAAGAACACTTTGGGATTGACATCAGAGACTGCTACCTCAGTCACAAATAAGGGGACTGTAGGGAAACAAGGAGCAAAACTGCATGTAGAAGCTCTATCAGAGGAGACTGTAGTAAATGAAAAAGCTAAGCTATATGTGGAGGCCCTAACATACCACAGCAGAGCCCAGGGAAAGCCGAGAAGGGAAAATGACAGGCCAATGAGCCCAAGTACACTAGTGAAACTGAAGAAAGGAAAGCTGCAATGGAGGAAATTAAATTGAATGAGTGGATACACAAGGATATGCAGTGGGAGAATGAAAGGGAGAGGTCAGTCTTTGAGTATGGGCTCCAAGAAGCTGAAGGGGAAACGTATGAAGCAAGAAAACAAGGGGGAAAACAATTAAAAGCAATAGGAGAAGACATGACCCAGCTGGAAAATTTTCGGAGAATAGGGGGGTTTGCAAAAAAAAGAACCCAGCCAGTGAAAGTGACCTTCAAGGTAGAATCGACTCGGAACAGGATCCTGCAGGAGAAAGCACGATTAAGGGACATGCCGGCATACAGGAAGGTATATCTCGTCTGCGACAGAACACAACAGAGAGGTGGTACAAAGGCGAAAGGAGGAAAGAGAGGGGATGGAGGAGACAGACAGGAGATCCCAGACACAGGAAGAAGATCAAATACAGCCCCCCTCACAACTTCCTATAGAAGCCCCCCAACCAGGTCAACCTCAGTGCAACCAAACACACTAAACCAAAACACCCATGCCATATCCAATGCCCCCACCCACTGCATTACAAACTCCACCCCCACAGCAACCACCCATAGTTCCTTTTCAGGTCTCCTACTTCCCCAACCCCAATATACCGCCCAGACCACAGTCTTAGAAAAGAAGTTGAAGGTGTGGTATACAAATGCAGATGGAATAACAAATAAATATGAGGAGTGGCATGAAAGAATCAAGGAGACATCCCCAGACATAATAGCACTCACAGAAACAAAACTCACCAGAAAAATAACAGATTCAATCTTTCCATCTGGATATCAAATCCTCAGGAAAGACAGAGGGAGGAGAGGGGGAGGAGGAGTTGCACTGCTCATTAAAACCCAGTGGGGTTTCGAGAAAATGGAAGGAATGGATGGCACGGGCGAAAGGGACTGCTTAGTAGGAACAATCCAGTCTGAGGGACATAAGGTGATAATTGCAGTAATGTACAACCCACCACAGAACTGCAGGAGGCCAAGAGAAGAATACGATGAGAGCAACAGAGCAATGGTCGACACACTAGCCGAGGTGGCCAGGAGAGCACACATTGGGGGAGCAAAGTTACTAGTTATGGGTGATTTCAATCACAAGAAGATTGGGAAAACCTGGAGCCCCATGGGGGTCCTGAAACATGGAGAGCCAAGATGATGGATGTGGTACTGGAAAACCTCATGCATCAACATGTTAGAGACACTACCAGAGAGAGAGGAGAGGATGAACCAGCAAGACTGGACCTTGTATTCACCTTGAGTAGTTTGGACATAGAGGATATCATGTATGAAAGGCCCCTGGGAGCTAGTGATCATGTGGTTCTCTGCTTCGACTACATAGTTGAGCTCCAAGTGGAGAGAGTAGCAGGAATAGGGTGGGAAAAAACAAACTACAAAAGAGGGAACTACTCAGACATGAGGAACTTCCTGCAAGACATTCAGTGGGAGAGGGAACTGACAGGAAAACCAGTAAAAGAAATGATGGACTATGTGACAACAAAATGCAAGGAGGCAGAGGAGAGGTTCCCAAGGGAAACAGAAATAATGGGAAGAACAGAACGAGTCCTTGGTTCACCCAAAGGTGTAGGGAGGCAAAAACTAGGTGTACTAGAGAATGGAAAAGGTACAGAAGACAGAGAACGAATATGCACAGATAAGAAGGGAGGCTCAGCAACAATATGAAAATGACATAGCATCGAAAGTCAAGTCTGGCCCAAAGCTGTTGTATAGCCACATCAGGAGGAAAACAACAGTCAAGAACCAGGTAATCAGACTGAGGAAGGGTAATGGGGACTTCACAAGAAACGACCGAGAGGTATGTCATTAGCTCAACACGAGATTTAAAGAAGTATTTACAGTGGAAACCAGAACAGGGGGGTACACCAGCAAGTGCTGGATGAGGTACATATAACCAAGGAGGAGGTGAAGAAGCTGCTATGCGAACTTGACACCTCATAGGCGGTGGGACTAGACAACATCTCTCCATGGGTCCTTAAAGAGGGAGCAGAGATATTGTGTGTGCCATTAATAAAGATCTTCAACACATTTGAAACTGGGCAACTCCCTGAGTTATGGAAGATGGCAAATGTAGTCCCAATTTTTAAAAAGGGAGACAGACATGAGGCACTGAACTACAGAACTGTATCACTAACGTGCATAGTATGCAAAGTCATGGAGAAGATCATCAGGAGGAGAGTGGTGGAGCACCTGGAAAGAAGCAAGTGTATAATTGACAAACAGCACGGTTTCAGGGAAGGAAAATCCTGTGTCACAAACCTACTGGAGTTTTATGACAAGGTGACAGAAGTAAGACAAGAGAGAGAGGGGTGGATCGACTGCATTTTTTTGGACTGCAAGAAGGCCATCGACGCAGTTCCTCACAAGAGGTTACTGCAAAAGCTAGAGGATCAGGCACATATAACAGGAAAGGCACTGCAAAGGATAAGAGAATACCTTACAGGGAGGCAACAACGAGTCATGGTACGTGATGAGGTGTCAGAGTGGGCGCCTGTGACAAGCGGGGTTCCACAGGGGTTAGTCCTAGGACCTGTGCTGTTCTTGGTATATGTGAATGACATAACGGAAGGGATAGACTCAGAAGTGTCCTTGTTTGCAGATGATGTGAAGTTAATGAGAAGAATCAAATCAGATGAGGATCAGGCAGGACTACAAAGAGACCTGGACAGGCTACAAGCCTGGTCCAGCAACTGGCTCCTTGAGTTTAACCCTGCCAAATGCAAAGTCATGAAGATTGGGGAATGGGCAAAGAAGACCGCAGACACAATATAGTTTAGATCCCCAAAGACTGCAAACCACACTCAAGGAAAAAGATGTGGGGGTGAGTATAACACCGAGCATATCTCCTGAGGCGCACATCAATCAGATAACTGCTGCAGCATACGGGCGTCTGGCAGACCTTCGGATAGCGTTCCGATATCTCAGTAAGGATTCGTTCAAGACTCTGTATACCATTTACGTCAGGCCCATACTGGAGTACGCAGCACCAGTTTGGAATCCACACCTAGGCAAGCACGTCAAGAAATTAGAGAAAGTGCAAAGGTTTGCAACAAGACTAGTCCAAGAGCTAAGGGGATTGTCCTACGAAGAAAGGTTGAGGGAAATCGGCCTGACGACACTGGAGGACAGGAGGGTCAGGGGAGACATGATAACGACATATAAAATACTCCGCGGAATAGACAAGGAGGACACAGACACAAGAGGTCACAATTGGAAGTTGAAGACTCAGATGAATCAAAGGGATGTTAGGAAGTATTTCTTCAGTCATAGAGTAGTCAGGCCGTGGAATAGCCTAGAAAGTGACGTCGTGGAGGCGGGAACCATACATCGTTTTAAGGCGAGGTATGATAAAGCTCATGGAGCAGGGAGAGAGAGGACCTAGTAGCAATCAGCGAAGAGGCGGGGCCAGGAGCTATGACTCGACCCCTGTAACCACAAATAGGTGAGTACACCACACACACACACACTCACACTCACACACTCACACACTCACACACTCACACTCACACACACACACACACACACACACACACACACACACACACACACACATACACACGTACACCACACACAGGAACTGTTTACCTTCGCTCACCTGGAAAGAGTTGACGTCAGCAGTCCTGCTTCTAGGTGAGTACACACACACACACACACACACACACACACACAACACACACACACACACACACACACACACACAGGCAAGAACTATATATAGCTCTAAGAAAAGATATGATAAAGCTCATGGAGCAGGGTGAGTGACATAGTAGCGACTAGTGAAGAGCTGTAACTCGAAGCCTGCAACCACATCTAGGTGAGTATATATAGGTGAGTACACAAACTGTTTACCTTCGCTCACCTGGAAAGAGTTGACGTCAGCACTCCTGCGTCTTGTCCGTCTCTCAGAGTCCATTGTCTTCTCAGCTAACGGCGAGAGTCTGAGAGAGAAGCGTGGAAGGTCTCCATACTCGAGGCTGAGGGAGAGGGTGAGGGCGCGGCTGAGGGAGTTGGTGAGGGAGAGGCAGCAGCAACCGCACTAGACTCCCTGACCAGTAGCACTGCAACAACACCGTCACCGTCGCCAGCAGGCTGGCCAGCACGGTGCAAGGCAAAGCTCCAAGAGTAGAGGTGTTGTGATGCTGCATAGCGGCCAGCTCCTCCCCTGAGGAGGCACAAACACTGCTTGGTATAATCCGCCTCAACTCTTATGTGTGCTCACTAGTCTATCAGGGTCACGTCAATGAATATAATATTCCTATGCAAGTGAAGTGTTTCACCGTCGTAAAATTATTGTTGTTGTTATTATTATTATTATTATTATTATTGGAAAGCGCTTAAGTCGTAAGCCTCATACAAGTCACGGATAATGGGAACAGTTAGATTTGATTGGAAGATGAGTATATTGGTTGCAAACTGGAAACCTAACGTCGACACAAAATACAGTTGAGAACAGAGGTGAGATGTATGAGATAGGTGTATCAAAAGATTGTAGACGGCCTTCGTGCCCACGTTAGTTTTCCTGTTCTAAAATAATGCTCCGTACATGGTTTGTTGAAGTAAATATTCCAGTCACATTTAACGGAGTGAGATAAAACTGACTTAGTGCTCCAACAAAACGATAAGGTTAAACGTAGGTGTGTGGAATCATCTACAGTGAAACTTACAAATACTAAAACAGTGGAATGATCACTTTAGCAACACCTGTTGTGCCCATTCTCATAGAGGGAATTAAACCTGATGTAGGCAAGTAGGTCACCTGTTTTATTTCCCTATAACTTAAACACTGACGTACCTGTCTCTAGGACCTGACCTCTTCACTACTTAAGCTGTCTGAATTTCATATCTGTTGTGCATCTGGATAAGCGTACCCGTGGGTTACACTTTCAAGGTATTATAAAGGACCTGCCAGTATTGGAAATAATGGTATAAAATACCGACACAAAAGAAATATAAACACACATGCAGTATAATGTGATCCTTTATTGACAACGCTTCGCCCACATAGTGGGCTTTTTTCAAGTCACAAACAGATCTACCTGTTTGTGACTTGAAAAAGCCCACTGTGTGGGCGAAACGTTGTTTATATTTCCATTGTGTCGGTATTTTATATCATTTATTTCCAAACTCATTGCTGCAGATTCTGAGTGCATGCAGGAAGAAGCCTATAATTACACCACGTTTAGTTTTGGTGTCGTGGTGAGAGTAGAAGTGGAGAAGATCGTTTTGGTTGGTGGGTTTTCGATAGACTTTAAAACGAAGTTCGTGGTCAGCTTTGCAGAGAAGAACATCGAGGAAAGGAAGAGTGTTGTCGACTTCTTCTTCAAGTGTGAACTGGATTGAAGGCTCGACCTGGTTGAGCTTGTCTTGGAGAGCTTGAGCGTTGAAGCGTCTAGGAGTTATGAGGAGAATGTCGTCAACATAACGGAGCCAGGTGACAGACGAAGGAATAATGGTGGAGAAACGTTCGGCTTCTAGATGTTCCATGAATAGGTTCGCCAGGACCGCACTGAGTGGCGAACCCATGGGTAGTCCAAAAGTCTGCTGAAAGATGTGATTTTCGAAAGAGAAACACGTAAAGCCAACACATAGTTGAACAAGGTCGATGAAATCGCTGGCTGGAATAGGAAGATCGAGTGAATCGTCAATTTTCCTGCGCAAGAGATCGATGGCTTGTGTAGTAGGTACTTTGGTGAATAGGGAAGTCACGTCAAGGCTGGAAAGTTTCTTGTTCCTGATGTTGATGTTGCGAATGCGACTGAGATGATCACCCGAGTGTTTGAGATGTGCTGGACTGATAGTGCCCAAGAGTTTAGAGAGGTGTTTTGCGAGAATTCCTGAGAGCTGGTGGGGAGCACTGCCTATTCCCGAGGATATGGGCCTCAGTGGGATACCAGGCTTGTGAGTTTTTTGGCAGGTCGTACATTCTAGCAGGTCTGGGGTTGCTGGGTATTGTGTGCAGAAGTTTCTTCCCTTGTTCTGAGCTCCTCAGAATGCGGCGAGTCCTTTGAAGAAAAGTTTTAGTAAGGTTGTCCACTTGGTTAGTTGTGATAGGTTTGTAGGTATCTGGGTCATTAAGTAGATTGAGCATTTTGTTCCTGTAATCGTCAAATGCTCAATTTACTTAATTACCCAGATACCTACAAACCTCTCACAACTAACCAAGTGGACAAAGTGGACAACCTTACTAAAACTTTTGTCTAAACTCTTGGGCACTATCAGTCCAGCACATCTCAAACACTCGAAGGATCTTCTCAATCGCATTCGCAACATCAACATCAGGAACAAGAAACTTTCCAGCCTTGACGTGACTTCCCTATTCACCAAAGTACCTACTACACAAGCCATCGATCTCTTGCGCAGGAAAATTGACGATTTACTCGATCTTCCTATTCCAGCCAGCGATTTCATCGACCTTGTTCAACTGTGTGTTGGCTTTACGTGTTTCTCTTTCGAAAATTACCTCTTTCAGCAGACTTTTGGACTACCCATGGGTTCGCCACTTAGTGCGGTCCTGGCGAACCTATACATGGAACATCTAGAAGCCGAACGTTTCTCTACCTATATTCCTTCGTCTGTCACCTGGCTCCGTTATGTTGACGACATTCTCCTCATAACTCTTAGACGCTTCAACGTTCAAGCTCTCCAAGACAAGCTCAACCAGGTCGAGCCTTCAATCCAGTTTACACTTGAAATCGACAACACTCTTCCTTTCCTTGATGTTCTTCTCTGCAAAGATGACCACCAACCAAAACGATCTTCTCCACTTCTACTCTCACCAGGACACCAAAACTAAACGTGGTGTAATTTTAGGCTTCTTCCTGCGTGCACTCAGAATCTGCAGCGATGAGTTTCTTGAGGAAGAATGCACTATAATTGAACAAACATTTTCTAAACTCCACTATCCTCGTCACTTCGTCAGAGACTGCAGACGACGGGCATTGAACATCTTCAACACACCCAGAGAAGACACTGCCGAGAAGAGATACATAGTCCTCCCCACCAACTCCATTGCCAAACACGTTTCCAACATCTTTTCCAATACCTCATTCCAAGTACTACCTCCAAAACCACGACCATCAAGGACATTACCAGTGATAGACAGGACAAGCTTCCACCCTCTGCAGGGGTATACATAATCCCTTGTAATGACTGCAACAAATTATACGTGGGCGAAACAACAAGGGATCTCCAAACACGTATTTCAGAACACCAATACGCAGGCAGGTCTGACGATACAAGGAATGCCTGTGTACAACACCGTAATTCACACAACCACTTGATAAATTACAGAAACTCAAGACTTATCGCCACAGAAGACAACACTCAATACAGAAGAATCCTGGAATCATCACTTATTTCTATATCCGACAACCTCAACCAGAATAGTGGCTTCTATAATATAGCGGAACCACTTGCGAAGAAACTTCATCGCTATCCCACATAAGAGCATAAGAATGGAAGAACACTGCAGAAGGTCTGCTCACAAACTTATCCAATCTCCCTTCCAAGCTACCCAAGATTTTAGACTCTATAACCCCACTCGGTACATCATCAGATGCAGCATTCTCCACCTGACCTCAGCATTCTGAACCTGACTATAAATACTCGCGTACCTTCCACCCCAGGTAGATCTGTTTGTGACTTGAAAAAGCCCACTGTGTGGGCGAAAAGTTGTAATAAAGGATCACATTTACTGCATGTGTTTTTTTTTTCCCACCTTTCCAGTATTGTAAAGGACCTGCCAATATGGCCAACAGGCCACTGCAGTTTTTCCTGCTTTCATATTTATTTGTTATCTGATTAAAAAACAGTTCCCGGGAATTAAAGGAAACCTGAAATTTTCTTTTGAATGAAGGGCAGTGTTTGATTACTGGGAACTGCGACGGGACTCCAACCATCCTATCCACTTCCCCTTTCTACCCATTTCTTCAACAATGGGAAGGAATAAATAAAAAAAATACCCTTCAGGTAACACTTCTTAACTTAGCCTCGTGGTGCGAATTACTCCTCTCACGATTACCAAATGTAGGATCAAAACCTCCAGCGCTCTTTTTCGTGCAAGACCCAAGGGTTACGTTTAAAAAAAAACATTAACTAAAAATTTTATTTCATGTACATGTCTCTGATGCCGCTGAAATTTTAACCCACAAGTTCTCGGAAAATTTTTCCCCTTTTTCCTCAGCCAATTTATCTTTCTTTCCCCAGAAGTTTTAAATTAACCTATAAAATTTTTAGCATTTCCCCTAATTTAAAAAAAAATTGGTTCACTAGTTAGTATTTGGGAAGACACACACCCAGGTCATCCCCCAAAGCCTTCGAAACACCGGCTAAAACCTACCAGGTTTTTTTTTTTTTGGTATATTAATATATATATATTTATAATATATATTTTAATATATATATATATATATATATAATTATAATATATATATATAATTTATACGACAACTACTACAAAAAAACCCCATCTTTTTGGGGGGAAGGAAAACCTATTTTCCACTGGGGAACCCCCCTACCTGAAATGCCCTCGTCGCTACACCTGACGTTCTATAAAAGCGCCGGATCCTTCGTTCAAAAATCTCCACGACTTGGTGCTCTTCGCACCTCTCCTAGGTTGAGGGACTGATTACCTCATCTTCTGTCATATTTACTGTCTTAAAGTTATGTGCAAAATTTGTATTGATAAAGCCACTGGATGGCGAAACTCTACAAAAAGATCCCAGATGTTGCACATGTTTCTTAATAAAAGGTTTTGTTAAAAAGTATGGCACGAAAAAGGGTATGACTTTTTCCCCCTTAAAGAGCGGTGCTTTTCGATACAAAAATAAAAAAAAAGCATGATAGGCCTCTTGCCGCGGGAGAAATTTCTCCCGGGATTTCATTAAACTAAAATTTCTAATCCTGATGAGGCACGGGAAAAAAATGGATCCAACAGACAAAACTGGTGAAGTTTTATTTTGCACATCAAACGTTAGTTAGGTGGGTAAGGTTCGTCGGAAACAGGACAAATTTTTTTGACGCGGTCTTAGTCAGATATGACCCCCTTTGGGGTTTTTGGGTCATTGCCCGAGGCCTTCCGCGGGCTTAGGGGTTCCCCCCCTTTAAAAATTAGGGTTTTATAACCATTTTGTCTAAAAACTTTGGGGATGATAAAGAAATGAT